GGCTGCTCTCCCTGTTCCCTAAGTGCTGAGCACTTTGTGGAATCACTGATGTTGTTTCTGCCTTCTAGTTGACACTCTGTCCTCCTGAGGTGCTACTCCAACTCCTCACTGTTAAGATTAAAGTCTCAGAGATGTTTACTTTATCTCTCCCTCTGCCCTTCCTTTGGCCATCCTCCTCTCTGCCTGTGTTCCTGCTGTAGCTCCAATGATGCCTTCAGGTGCACTGAGTGACACTTTGAGTGTAGGGGAACAGCCCCATTTATTGTGTTCTTGGAAAATCCCATTTCCCTGGGATATTGCAGATGGTACCTGAGCACCTCCAGTTGTGTGGGACAGGAGGAGGGAAAATATGGGCCATACAGTAGGGTTTGAACCAAACAGAAAGGGTTGGGGTGAGCCATGTGTTGGTGCAGGAACTGATGTGGGCAGCATCACTGGGACAGGAGCAGTGCTGGAGGTGATGCCCTCCAGAAGTGCCCTAGGTCTCCCAGCAGCTGTGAGGTGGGAGTGGGCTGGAACTGAATCTGTTCTGCTGCTCTGTCAGCTTTTGGTATCCAGCATCCTGCTGCAGCAGCATGGCCCTGGGCTCCACTGCACATCTCTCCTCCTGCAGCTCACCTTGGGGTGCCTGGCCTTCAGTCCCCCATGCAGTGAAAACAGCTTTGTCTCATTTGCTTTTTCTGGGTTCCTCTGCTCTTGGTTTGCCCAATCTCCTCCATCACTCTGCGTCATGGGACTCCCAGACCTTCCCCAGCTCGCAAGGCGTGACCTATGGATCCTTCCTGGCCTCGTGCTGCTCTGCACATCCCGACGTCTGAGAGCAGTGCCCTCTGAGCGCAGGGCTTCTCCTTAGAGACCAGAACCCGGCTGGCACCCCCTGCATTGCGACTATGGCAGAAGGAAGAGTAGCCCAGAGCTGAGGGAGACGGATGGACGCGCAGACCCATGCGGCACTCGCAAGGTGACGGGAGCCGAAGCGGACACCGAGGCCCACGCTTGACTGACGGTGCGGCTGTGCGATGTACGAACGCCCCATCCCCAGGCGCTCGTCCCACCGCGGCCCCCCGCGCTCCCGGCGGCCGATTCGCGCCCAGCGGCGGCCGGAAGGCAGCGGGCGGACAGCTGGGGGAGCTGCAGAGCCGTGACCGCGTGGCCTAATGGATAAGGCGTCTGACTTCGGATCAGAAGATTGAGGGTTCGAGTCCCTTCGTGGTCGCAAAGGGTGCTCCTACTTTTCCAGGCTCTCCCTCTTCCCACCCGCCCAGAGAAGGGGAAGGAGCACGCGTGCCCGGGTTTGGTTCCCTCCTGTGAGACCTGCTCCGCCGGGATTTTCCCTTTTTCTTTTCGACGCCTGCGGGGTTATCCTGCTGCACGGCCGGGAGCCGCGCGTGTCCCCGTGTCCCCGTGTCCGTCCGTCCGTCCCGTGTCCGTTCCGGCTCCCCGCGGGCGCAGTCCGAACTCCACTGCGTTTGGGGCCGTTCCCACGAGTGGGAGCGCGCATCCCGCGCAGCCCCAGTGGCCTAATGGATAAGGCACTGGCCTCCTAAGCCAGGGATTGTGGGTTCGAGTCCCATCTGGGGTGAGCAAACCCTTTTCTCGATTATTTTTTTCATTGCTTTCTCCCCGTGTCAGTGCGTGCTGATACAGACGCACTGGGTGCGTCTGGCGCGGGGTGGGAGGGTACGGTGAGAAGGAATTTCGCACCCCCGTGGGACAGGAAATTAATTAAGGATCTGAATGCAATGGGAGAATTAAGGACTGAGCTCAATCAGAGTAACAGAACTCTGTAACACCGATGCATCGGTGAGCACCGTCTGCAGGGTTTGCGGAAGGGAAGGAACGGTGGGGCTCGGGGCAGCGAGGGCTGCGTTAATGGAAGAGTCTCAGAATATCCCGAGTTGGGAGAAACCCTCGAGGACCACTGAGTCCAACCCTACACTGCACCACCCCACCACCACCCCTCTCTCAGCGGAGTCCCAGCGCTCCCTCAGCTCCGGCCGCCCTGCCGTGCCCACCGCCCTCCGGGGCACAGCCTTTCTCAGCCCCCGGCACGGCTCTGTGCCGCGCCTTCGGGCCCCGCCGCCATCAGCAGATGCAGAGCAGGACAGGGCCAGCACTGATGGGAAGGAGGTTTCACTCCTCCGCCAGAAACCACATCTCTGTGCGGAGCTGCTCAGTGAGGGCACTCTGTTGAGCCGCGGTGCCCTGGGACCACAGCCCTGCGCATAAATGCTTGTAGGACGATGCTTCTCCGTTTTGTTGCATTAAAAAGCTGATCGAGAGTCTTTTTTCCTACAGTTAATGGACTGTAAAAGGCAGTTGTGGTCAGGGTGATATCACACCAGTGAAACCTAAAGTGAAGTTTCTTTTCAAGTTATTTCTCCCTGTTAGGTGCGGGAGGAAATGACTCAGCTGCCTGGAAAGCAGAGCCACTTTGGCCCGGATCGACCCCGCGCTGCAGGCAATGCCCTACAGGTGTTGCGGCTGCAGTCACGCTGGGATCTCCATGGCCCTGGTTGGCTCACTGCACACTTTGGGGGACTACCTCAGCGACGGTCCCGCTCCGGTGCTATCAGATGGAACAGCTTCTGGTGTTTCTCTCCCTCACCACCTGTGGGCCGAGATTCTGGCAGGAGGAAACCGCGCGTGTGCCGCTCCCAGGAGCCGCACTACCAGCCGGTGGGCGCGGATTGGTGTGCGCAGAGGGAATAAAACAGCGCCGGGAAAGATAAGCACAGGAATTCTGCGGTGACTGATTCCCTAGCGGTGGATTCGAATCCCTCCCTGCTGTCCGGCGTGCTGTAAGAGAGGCCACGCGGACCGCGGCGCACATCTGTGGGCGCTGCCCCCCCCCCCGGCACCCGGCACGCCCCGCCCTCGATTCCACGCTGGCTGAAGTCGAGCTGCGTGGCCGCGGGGATCAGAGCGCCCGCGTTCCTGTGCCCCAGATTTCGGATTGCATTTGTGTGCTGGGTTTCTGCCGTCCTCAGAAGCACGGTTTGAACAGCCACAGAGAACATCGCGTACCGCCCGTGGGACTCCTGTGCCGTGCAGCCGCACACGGGGGGCGGGGCGGGTGCTATGATGTTCCGTGGGGACCTCCTGCCGCTTCCTGCTGTCACCAGCGTTCGCCTGGGAGGGCCACGGTGGTTCCTGGGGGCAGGGAATGGGGTTGTGATGTACGTCTGTGGGTGCTGGGGGGCGTGTAACCATTGGGGGCCATCGGTGTCTGTCACTGTTCCCAAAACTGAGGGCGAGGGGACCACGTGGCCTAATGGATAAGGCGTCTGACTTCGGATCAGAAGATTGAGGGTTCGAGTCCCTTCGTGGTTGTTTTAAATCACTCAATCGTTTGATTTCAGCTGAAGGTATTCTTGCGGCGCTGGCTGCCGGGAGGAGAGGAGCGGCCGCCAATGAGCGCAGAGGCCCGGTTTTGGGGTAGGCTGTGCCCCCGGAAGCTCCGCTCCCAGCTGTGGCCGATTCCGCTAAAAGGCTGGGGCTGCTCAGGTGCGTGGTGGGGTTGGTGTTGTTTTCTCTTAGGGCGGCAAGAAACGCTGTGAGGAGGGTAGGCAGAACCGGGCTTTTACTCCGTCTGAAACTCGGCCTACGAACCCTGCCGCTTTGTCCGTTCTGGCCCTGGGGCAGGACAGACACCGTGAGGCTGCACCGCTTCTGTGCCTTTCTCTTCCCTTTCCTTTTGGCCTATTTTATTTTTTTTTAGCCTGCGGGCTCAGTGCGGGGGGCTCTGGTATTTGCTGGCCCCGTTCTCGCTGCGGTCTCGTCGATTCTCACACCTCCGCCTGTGCGATTCACAGCAGCTCCCGTGCTGTTACCAGGAGCAGAGCCGCGCTGCTCAGGAGGAGGCGCGGAGCCCTTGAACGGCGTGCTGGTGTCGTGGGCGCAGCGTCCGCCCGGCCAGCAGAGAGTTAACCAGGAGCACCGGAGGATGCTCCTGCGCAGCCCCAGTGGCCTAATGGATAAGGCACTGGCCTCCTAAGCCAGGGATTGTGGGTTCGAGTCCCATCTGGGGTGGATCTTTTCCCCTCCCGCGTACTGTCGGTGCACAGCATCAGCTCGGTGTCTTCTTTTCCATCGCGGTCGCTCCGGGGTTCCCCCCGTGCACCACCGCGGTCTGAGATTGTTTAAAGTTAGCGGTCCGCCTCCTCCACAATCCTGTCGTGTGCAACGACGTTCTGTGTCGCTGAGGCAGCAGAAATGATCGTAAATGATCGCGTTACCTCCCGGGGTTCCTGCAAGGGCTGGAGGAAAGAATTTATGTTTTGTTTGCTCCTGCTTCTTGGCAGGTTGTGCATAGAGATGGGATGGAGGCAGCCGCATTGAACACATCAACTGCATTCAGAGCTGCGAACCTCAGGGCCAGGGCAGAGATTTCCCTCCTTGCCTAAAAGAGTACAGCACCCCTGCTCACCCCAGGTGGGACTCGAACCCACAATTCCTGACTTAGAAGGCCAGTGCCTTATCCATTAGGCCACTGGGGCCCTGCAAAGTGACAAAAAATGCATGATTTCAGTGCCTTTATGAGTCCCTGCCCCACACAGCAGAACAGCCAGACCTCGTGCTGCCACAGCGCTGCAGGCACCAGGGGCACCGTGCTGCTGATGCTGCTCAGTTCGGTACCGGTCACGGCTCTTAAAGGTGCTTAGTCTGAGGCTTCACGACGCTGCACTTCAAGGACCAGAACACCCCTGCACTTAAGAGGATGGTTTTTGTCTTTAAGTGCTGAAAAGAGTGCAATTGCCTCCTGCTAACCTCCTGCTGTGGCTTTAGGCTAATTCAACACGTTTTTCTTAGTTGGTAGGAAAAAAAAAAAGTCAGCTAACTAAAATCTGAGTAAATTGCTTGAAATGGTGAATTGTTATTTGTATTTGAAGACACAAAGCTTTTACTCTTTCTTTCCCACCCGATCTATTGCTGCTTGTACGTTCAGCAGCAGAGGGAGTTCTTAGAAAGATACAGAGGACTGGACGAAGCACAAGAGGTCAGCAGATTATAAATATGTTTTTTATTTGCATTTTTAGACAGACTTTATCAGATCAGTTTAGTATCATCTTCTGTTGCCAACAACATTTCCTTATAAAGGCAGTACACGAAAGACTTCCACCTCTGCTCTCAGTCAAAATCTGCCTTCCTGCTCTGTTTTATATTTGAGTGTATCCTTTTCTGTCTTAATCGTTCACGGTTCATTTTTTCTACCCTAAAACACAATGAAAAGATTCTTTAGTGCACACAAAAAAAAGCAACAAACCCTCTAATAAATGCTCAGCTAAGAGTTGACAAATGTCCACAGGCACTGGACATCCCCCGTTCTTGGTTTTGTTTAGTTTTTTAAGGAAAAACTCTGAATATCTGCCATTACATCACATTTAAATGTTTCCTGAGAAGATAATTTTTTGTCCCTGATGGGCTATTTTAACCAGAAGATCCTACTGTTGTCTTTATCGAGTTGCTTCTAGAAATGACAGTAAATCGTATCTCTTTTATTTTCCCTCCCCAGTGAAGAGTGCAAATAAAGGCAATCTTAACAATGGTACCTGGCTATGAGTTGCTGTGCAGTCTCCTTAGACACCACCTTGGGCTTCTCAGTAGCTTCTGTGACCATGACTCTGATTTTTTCTAAACAAATCGCCAGGTTCCTCATCTGGTAACGACTCTCTTCGGAGTTCACAATCAGCTCACCAGCTCGGTTTATCTTATTTCTGTGCTGAGGAGGGAAAAGCATGTTGTGATCACTGAAACTTTGTTCGACTTGTCAAATTTTTGCTGGAACTGTGAAGTGTTGTAGGGGAGAGGGTAGTTACCACTGATGCCATTTTTTCTCTTACAGCTTCTGGGATCCAGTCTGCTGATGCCAGGTGGAACCTGACTTCTGCCTTGGTATTCACTGGGAGGAAAAACAGGACTTTTTCAATGCAATAGATGGAGTTCCTGGGTTTTATGAGGCAGTTCAGTCTGTTCACTGCTGACTTTGAACATATTCTGATATCAGTGTAAATTTCCTGAAGGATCACAATTTATTTCTTGCTACTTTTTTTTTGCATACTATTCTAAAAGACAATTTTATGGTATTTGCACTTCTACACGTTATAAAATTTACTGCAATTATTAGCCAATACCTAGCCGGCAGAAGAGGAAATATTTTTTGTTTCCTTATTTGAGTTAAGCAAACAGTTTACTGCATAGAAAGCTGAAGAATCCAGTTGGCTTACTGCATGCTCAGTGAAAACAGATTACAGAAGTGATGTTTCCTGTGACACAGTAAGAATGCTTCTGGGAGAATGACTGCTAGCACTTGTCTCAGGCATTGCAAAGACTAAGGAGCTGTTAAAATGTAAAATGTTAAAATGTAAGTAATAATGAAAAACTCACATTAGACAGTACAAAGGTGCTCTTTTAATTTCAGGCTCATATTTTACCATAGAGCACAGAGAAACAGCTTTCAGGCTTGGATGCTGAGTGGGACTTTTCCTTAAGTCCGAGAACCCCTTTCATACCTTTGTTAACATTCTGCCCACCAGGGCCGCTGCTCCGGCTGTAGGATACAGTCAGTCGGTCTGGAAGAGAAGGAAGAACAGCACCGTGCTGCCCTTAGTTTTGTGGTGGGGAACAGGGGGTAAGTGATGTCCCAAAATGCTGCACGTGAGACTGAGAGAAGCCTGCTGTCGGTGCTTTCAGCTCAAACTGAGCGCTGACTTTTCTAGAGTCAATCAATTTAAATTACATTTTCTAAATATTTGCTATTCATCAAGAGGACAGCAAAAGTGGGTGATCTGCTCTTAAAGCACACGGAGCCCACAGCGCGGTGCCGGCTCTGTGCCGTCGTGCCACGCGCCTTCACAGGCCACAAACGCTTGGGGTCAGTTCTGCTGAGCCGTGACACTCACCCATGGGGATGTTGAGGGCCGCTGGCCTGGCCTCCTCCTGGAAAACACGAGGGAAGGAGAGGGGAAGTAGCGTTAGGCGGTGAGCGAGGCGGCGGGGCAGCCTCACGGGCGCCTCGGGCCTGGCCCTGCCTGCCGCAGGGTGACCGCGCCGAGGCCGCGCTGCGCCCCAGGGCCCAGCTCAGCCCAATCCCACCCGCTCGCGACCCCGGTCCCACTCGCCGGGTCGCTGGCGGTGCCGCCGTCCCGCGGCGGGTACAACTTGTCCAAGCTGTAGGCGCTGCGGAACTCGGTGCCGGCGGCGGCGCGCTGCGAGAAGCGGGCGGTGAGGAACCGCAGTGCCCAGGGCCCGCGCACCGCCATCTTGGCGCTTCCACAGTGCGGCGCGGCGCGGCGTCCCCTGGAAACGGCGCCCCTCGGAACGGCGTCCCCTGGAAACGGCGGCCGCGCGCTGCGTTCCGGGGCCTTGTGGGGCCGCGCGGTGCCCAAGCGCGCTGTGCGGCCGGGCCGCCTGCCGAGGGGCGTGGAAGGCGCCAGGAGGAGGTTGAGGCGCCTTTAGCTCGGTACGGCAGCTCCTCGGAGCACGTTGAAGGAGCGAAAAATTAATGTACGCGATCAGTGTGTATCTGTGCACCTGTGCGCGTGTACCGTAACCTTTATTGACGCGTTTCCCAGATCTGGAGGAGAGGTGCTGGGGGGGGGAGGGGAGCACAGGGGGAGCGCAGCCCTGGGAGCCGGCAGCCGACGGCTGCTGAGACGCGCCTCGTGACCGCGGGCAGGAGCGGCAGCTTCTGGCGCCGGGAAGGCGGTCCGGCAGAGCGCGGGGCTGCCGTCAGCACGGTGTTTTGTCGGGTGCCGACGACGGTGCCTGTAAACCTGTGCGCGAAGTCAGAACGGTGCTTAAAAGCGGCACGGCGCTGCGCGGGGCTGGGCTCCAGCTGGGCGATGGGAGCTCTGAGCCCCGAGCGGGGCTGCGGGGTGAGGGTCGGTGGCTCCGAGGGGAGCTGGCAGCGCCGTGCTCCGGCGTGACCGCGTCTCTGGGTTTGAACCACGGGCCAGCGGGTGAGGATGGGTTCCGCTCTGCTTCCCCGGCCAGAAAATGGAAAGCTTGAAGGAGAAAGAGCAGAACCGTCAGAGAGAGACCGCGCCAACTGGTGACCTTAATTTAGAGGAGGAAACTGGTAAATTGCTGGGATTTGTTGCCGGAGGGTGGGTGAGACCTCCGAAGCTTTTCACCAACTGCCATTAAACGCGTCAGCGTTACCGCTGTGCTGGTGAGGTGCCAAGAAAGGCGTCACTGTGCGGTGTGCGGCAGGGCTGCGGACGGGGCGTGAAGGTCGTGCAACCACAGTGAGACAGCCTGCCAGCACCTAAAGGGAGCCTATGAACAGGAGGGAAATCAACTCTTTGGAAGAGTAGATAACAGCAGGATAAGGGTAAATGGGCTTAAGTTGAGGGAGGGAAGATTTAGGTTGGATGTCAGGGGGAAGTTCTTTGCTATGAGAGTGGTGAGGTGCTGGAACAGCTGCCCAGAGAGGCTGCGGATGCCCCGTCCATCCCTGGAGGTGTTCAAGGCCATTGGATGGGGCCCAGGGCAGCCTGGTCTGATCCTAAATGTGAAGTTTGGTGGCCCTGCGTGTGGCAGAGGGGTTGGTGATTCATCATCCTTGATGTCCTTTCCAACCTGGGCCATTCTGTGATTCTGTGAAAGGGGCAGCCCTGCTCGTGCTTCATTCCCACACTGCTGGATGGCTCAGGTGTCCAGAGAGCCTTTGAAAAAGCAGAATGAGCTCTGCTTGGATGACTGGACTGATGGAAGTGTGCTTGTCTTAAAGTCACCTTCTATATTCCGTTCAAACTGAATTCTTGACAAGCTGTATCCTTATTAACCTCGGTGCTGTGATCTGAACAGGGGGATTACTTTTGATGAATGCTGAAATTAGTAGTTTCCTATTTTGTTGTACCTGCTCATTATAGTTGAATATGCTCTTGTTCTCTTCCTGTCCCGATTCTTGGGGTGTGCTATTAAATAGCTGCTGCTTTTCGTTAGACCAATCTCTGCAGCAGTGTGGTTATTTAACACTCCTCTTACCTCTTGTAATGAAGATGTAGAGTTTTCTTTGGAATTTTCAAAGCAATTCTCAAAGTTTAAATAGAAGGTGGGATGAAAGGTCAAAACATGCTTATTTTTTTCCTCCTTTGATTGCTGAAAGTCTAATTTAAGAAAAAAAATAACCAAGTGACTCTGAATCGCACAGTCATCAGGACATATATATATGGCCACTCATATTTTTGGATGCAGAAAGAATGCCCTCAGCACTTTGCTGAACAAACTGCAGATCTCTGGCAGCTGCTTCTTTCGCCAATATCCTGTTCCTTACATCAGTCATTTTTTGATGTCTGGTTTTCAGACAAAAACATTTGAATTACAAGTTTAGAAATGATGCAGTTTTATAAACTTTTGAGCTAACAGAAGAGTGTTTTCATCATGTGGCAAATGCTCCTAGTCCAAGTGCAACATGCGCATTGTGTAAATAATGCGGCAGTGTATTTCAGCATGTCCCTCTGCTTTCTGCAAAGAAGCCTGAAGCAGTTACTTGACCCAAATCGTACATGATAATCAAAGACATAATTGTTGTGCTGGACCTAAAAGTAAAAAGAGCTTTAAAGAAAGTCTGAGAGCAACAGTGTTTCTTTTTATCTGAGAAAAAAACGTTTGAAAATGTATTTAATCTGATGTATGCTCAACTGGGATGCTGATTCACACGCTATGGTTTAAAATGGAAAGTGAAGGCAGTCCTCTTCCCACGCATATGCATCAGGCAGGTGATTGCAGAGGAAGCACTGGCTGACTTAAAATGACATTGTTTCAGAGATCCCTTGGTACAAGTGCACAAGGGCACTGGAGCTGGTCATGCCAGCCCCTGTAATAGAACAGAAACTGGGGGACACTGAGAAAATCAACGGGATGCAGCTTTTGTTGCCATTGTTCATTTTGTTTATTTATTTTTAGTCAACTGCTTTCCATTATAAATAAATAAGGCATGAAGGTTCTCATACTGTTGTAGAGCTGGTAGCCACAATCGTGCTGATGGCTCCTAATTTTCTCGAGCTGGGGGCCGCAGGGCACCTGAAGATGCAGAGCGTGGAAGCAAGGAGCGTTTGGTGGTGGGGAGTAGAGGAGGCTTCTGGAGCAGGTGGGTTTGGGCATCGCCCCCTGCCGACTGGCCTCAGCGGTACTCAGCTTAACGAAAGACAAAGGACGGAGGGGTATTTTTTGCATTAATTCCATTGTGAGTGAAAGAAAAGTAGCTCTTCATAGTGCCAAGTCCTGAGACCTGGAGGATAGTTCAGTTTTAACAGTCTTCCCCCTCCAAAGCCAAATTGAGACTGACATAAATAAATGTTGCAAAAATCCCAACTATTTACCCAAATTTTTGGGATATAAGCTGGTGAAAACAGAATCCAAATTTGGCCTACAGTTTCTCCGGGCCAGCACAGAATAGGTAGCTTACGCTGAACTGCTCATTTCTTGTGGCACAGTGCTCGGGATGTTGCCTAAGCTGTGACAAAATACTGCTTCTCTGCCTAAAACATGTGTCTGTTCAAACAAGATCAACTTCCGGTTTATGAAAAATGGAAAGTGATGATTCCTGAGACTGCAGCAGCACTTTGGCTGTGTTTGCATGTCTGCGGAAGCAAAAGTGAAGAGATTCCAGTGCTGGAAAGTGAGCTGGAACATGAGAGGTGATGACCTTTGGAGACAGTATCTCAGCCAAGATAGATTATTTTCAACAGAAGACTGAAATCTGTCCTCTTGACTGTGAACACAGAGCAAAAGTGTAGGGCAGTGTGTGATCAGCACTGCCTGGGCCAGCGGTCCCAATGCTGTACGAGTGTGGTGCTTTACCACTTGCACTGAGTCACTGCTAGGTAGCTTTGCAAGCCCATGCAAGCTGTACTGGAGGAGCTTGCTGCGTTGGAGGCAGTGACATCCTGTTGGATAGCACAGTGCAGAGGGCTGGTACCCGGACAGTGAGGTGAAAGCATGTCTCTGAAACTGTAACAGCACTTCTTATCTAGCTTATGGGAAAGCCCTGGTAATCAAGTTCCTGCCAGGCACAGTGATACACCTGGGATGAAATACTGAGAGAGATTTAAAGCGAGGAAATCCCATATGCCTACAAAGTCTGGAGGGTGTGGAGTGAGTTACTAGGTGATACTGATGAAGACAGAATAATCAATTCTATGTTTCTCTTCAAGTTTTTCCAGTCGCAATGAGCTTGCATTGTAAACAGCTGAAAAACCTGACTGACAAGAGAATGGCTTGGACAGCAAGAACAGACTGCCCTATGGGGAAGGGGAAAGGTGGGGGTAGGTCTCTTGGGTACAAGTGTAGGTTCTTAGCCATAAAACCAATGTGAAGGCTTGGGCTGGTGTTCTTGAGCAGCCCCTGAAGTTCTGATGGTTCATACTGCTTTGCTGCGAAGCCAAACTCTGGCTGCTGCAGTGCTGGAGGACATCCAGGCTTTTGCTCGCGTGTAACTGGACTGTAAGACAAGCTGAAAAGGATGGGGGAGGTGAACAGTTCTTTGTGGTGGGGTTTCTGTTGCTATTGAGAAGTCTGTCTCATGCAGAGATCCATCATACAGATTCTGAAATCCTCTAACTACAATGTACAGTTTGTCCAACAAGTCACCAGAGCCCAAGCTTAAAAACACGAACTGAGTCTCTGTGACATTTCCTTGCAATTATACGATGGACGCTCCCTTCCCATACAAGAACATACCATGAGGCCTCTCAAACCTTCAAAGCAGTGGGGCTGGTGACGTTTCCTGGAGCTGAAGAGAAGACTCGGCTGTTGGGATGGCAGGCGGGGATCGCAGAGGGGCAGGGCTCATTTGCTGCTCTTGTTTTTCACCTTTGTGGCATTGATGTCCGCTTTTGTTTTCTGGATGCGGGAGAAGATCTCCTTGAACAGAGCCTTGTACTCGGGCTGACTCTGCTCCAGCCGCTTGTCCACGGCCTCCACGTGTTTGCTGATGGTCTTCTCCATGGATTTTCGCTCTTCCAACTCAAACCCTTCTCCCCGGAAGTCTCTGAAGGAGCTATCACGAGAGATGGGGCGGGAGGTCTGCACCCCTGTGTGACGCACGCTGTCCTTGTGCTGCCGGCACTTACTCAGGAGCTCCTCGTACTTCTCCAGCAGGGCATGGTACTGCTCGTCCACCTCCCTCAGGATGGACATGCCCCGTTTGCGCACGTTGTTGGCATGCAGTGTGTAATTGCCCTCGTGCCGGCTCACGGCATCCTTGGTGACGATGGCATTGAGAGCTGTGTCACTGCAGCTCTTCCGGACGGGGTGG